TCCTAAAATGCAGGTGTGAAAATCTACTCCATCTGGACTAAAATAGATTTTTGTAGTGTTTCTTAATCAGCACCTTCTACTCCCATCTTTCTAGTGAAGATGACTAATGCAGTAAACATGACAGCTACAGAGCTAAGGTTGCTTCTGTAGGCAACCTGTAAATCCTAAGCATCACATCTTTTACTCTCAAATACTGAGTGAGTGTTTATGATCCATTTGAGGAAGAAACGATCTCATTTGTTCGCAACCAACATGCGAAAACATCAAGTGGAGAAGAGGACATGGTTCCTGACCCTTCCACAGATCAGAAGATTGTAGCTTTTCTTTCCCCACCAGCAGTTGAAGTTTCCAAAACATCCAATAAAAGCATGTAGGTCTTCTTCTCCACTATACCTAGCAGTATAATAACAAACTGAAATATAACATTTAGTGTGATCATGCTGACTTCTAGGAATAACACATAATAAAAACCTGCTCTGAGAATGCATGAAGCTGAAACGTAGCTCAGCCTTCTAACTGTATTTTTTTTGTCTATTCAAACAAGTAAGCTGTATAAAAAGCTTTTCCCCATAAATTAAATTTGGGATACATTTTTGTCATGTCTTCCAATGGGTAGATATTTTGGATAAAATAACCGATAAAACAATTTCCTAGAAACAGATGGCTCAGATCCCTATTATCATTAACATCTCTTCGCATTTTGTTGTTCTGTTGAGACTGAATGAATTTTCTCAGAAACACAGTTCACATTCAAAGGCACATAAGTCCTAGCAACATAAGCTGCTCAGGCTGATCAACAATGTAGGGACAAAAAAGGTTACATCTTACTACAACTGTACTTTCATATTGATAGCATAAGGCGGTTTTAGGCCTACCTTGGTACATTTGCAAAGCTGCACTTGAATAAAGGACCTGGCATGAAGTCCATTAGAGACAGACAGAGAAACAAGAATGGCGTTGTTATAATTGAAAGGATCTATTTTTCCTTGGCACCTGTATCTATCCACAGTTTTTTGAACCTGTCCATAACCTGTAGGGTGTGAGGATTGCTAGTAACACACATTTTAAAACAGTTGTCGGCTGTACTATATCCATTTTACAAAAGAGAAAAAAGGGAATAACAGCAATCAAAGTTTTCAATTTGTACATAGGGCAAAGAAAATGAAATGTGTGAGAATTGCACTACAACATCCACAGTCTGAAAACGAACAATTTCTAAAACTAATAATGAAAGGGAAGAAAAAAGGCTCACACCTAAAGGGCAAAATTGAATTCCACAGATGCTCTGTAGTCTGATTGATTTGCTGGAGAAAATTCATGAAATCAGTTTGCCTGAAAAGAACATGAATCTCTTAGATTAAAAAAAGGACACCAATCTCCCATAAGAAATTAGTGAGATGCGTGGGAGTGAGCAGATGAAGTAAGCTTGTGCAGTCAGAGAAGGACAAAACAGACCCTCTAAAATGGTAGTCGAAACTAGATAAACGTCTGTTACATCCAAGTGTTTCGTCTGCTTAAATGCAAAGGCGAACAAGCCCTCAAAGCCTCATTATGGAAGCAACACTTGATATTTTCAGCTTGAACTTAAGCAAAGATCTGTCATTACATAAAATCAGGACATTTCAGAAATCAGATATAAAATTTTGGATAATTAGAAATGAGAATATCAAAAATAAAAAGTAAACTTTGTCTGCGATACAGTAGCTATTTAGTCAAGTATTAACATAAAGGACTTAAGGAAGTTCTTTATGCAACCAAGTCAAGACAATTATGTAAAGGGCTACTAAAAAGTTTCAAGGCAAGTTGCAACACAATCCAATGCAATTTTACTTGAAAGCAAGTCACGGGGATTCCAATTAATTTAGTCCCAAACATGTTTTTAGGACTTCAATTTTGGAATTCCAATCCCTCAATATTTTTCACTATTTATCTGAACTGTTACTAGAAACTGATGCTCTTCAATGTTTGGACATTCCCTCTTTTTTCATGAGTTCTGAAATGAAATTATTTGTTTTAGGAATTCTCTTTAATATCATTTTAGTGAAATCATTCTACATGCTGTTCTAATATATTCTGAAAGATGACTCTATGTGTGCCACTGCAACTAACTCATTTCAAGCCAGTGTAATTGAACATGTATATATTTGGCTTCAAACTAATTAGACACTTATTCCTTTTCATCCTATATACGGTTAATTTACAGTTGCTACATAACATGAGCTGTCACCACACTAATGAGTTTTCCCCCATCTACAGTTTCTATTACGTTTAATGTGAAAAATAATATATTACAGTCAGCTAATTGTCACAGCATTAACCACTTTATGACTTAAAGGTTATTAAAGATAAAACATGCTATTCGGGTCACATTTTTCAGATCAAACAACAAACTGGAATAACACAAACAACACATGGAGATGAACGGGTTTTTTTGAGGCAAAGAAGAACAATAACACTGAAAGAACGTGCAGAAAGAGTGAGAGAGCAACAACACCCTTATACTTAAGCTTACTGTTGCTTTTTAAAATGTTTACAAATATGTCTTTGCAAGTTTAATAACCCTAAAAGAGAGAGTTTTGTCTATCAGTGCCCCTGGATTCATGAAAATAAACGTGCAATTAAGACCATCTGTTTTTCTTAAAGTAAAAAAAAATCATTGTATTATACAAGAAAGGTATTAATGTTGATACTGCAACACTGTTGTACAGTTCACATTCAATCAGGATGAGGAAAGTGGTGTCGGAGAGGATTATTCCATCTGAAACTTGTTACGTTCCCCGCCTGGGAATGCTTCTATTGTAGACTAGCTTGTATCTTTTGACAAGAAACCTTCCCAAAGAAGAGTTTGCTTGTCAAAATACGTGACACTGAGCACTATCATTTAATCGCTCCACGGCGGCTGTATTTAAGACACCATACTGTGCCAAGGATGGAGATGAGATTGGATCCTGAACTGTTTTAGAAGGCATGCAATGCTTTATGGTTTGCTTCTCTGATGCTTGACAGAACAACTCTGCACCGAGGACATGCCAAGATAAAGCAAAATACAAAAGAAAACAAGAAGCCAGGTTTGCTTCTTTCTCACTCTTCAAAACCTTGGCTGTTGGGGCGTGGGCAGGGTGGGGGTGGAGAAGAGATAATACAGGGAAAATCAATAAGAATGTCTTCCATTATTAATCACCAAAGGGTTAGGATTAAAGATGAAACCCTCTATGTCAGACAAAGTCCTTTGGGAACCTGGAAGGTTGGCCGCTCTGAGAGCTTCTGTGTGGAGAAGAATGGATGCCTATTAACCATACAACTACCAGTCTTTTGCTTGGAGAAACCCCACGTCCCCTTTTGTTAAAATCATATGCATTATAAGGGGTAATTAAATTGAGAGAAAGCACACTGCACAGCCTCTCAGTCTTGCTTGCTTTATTATGTAGTTACATTGCCCTGTTATCTTCTGGGTCACGCAATCCATACTCATAAAGCAAAGGAAAGAATGGTATACAATTTATCATACAGGTGAAAAGCAATGACTTCTGTGCATGCCACCCACCAATTTGGGGTTGCTTTTGGGGTGTGGTGCTTTGGCAGGCAGCTTCCACTAAGCAGACATCACCGATAACAATAGAGACCCCAGTGGTGCAATGGGTTAAGCCCTTGTACTGGCAGGACTGATGACCGACAGGTCAGAGGTTTGAATCCGGGGAGAGTGGGGTGAGCTCCTTCTGTTAGGTCCAGCTGCAGGGACATGAGAGAAGCCTCCCACAAGGATGGTAAAACATCAAACATCCAAGTGTCCCCTGGGCAATGTCCTTGCAGACGGTGAATTCTCTCACAGCAGAAGCGACTTGTGGTTTCTCAAGTAGCTCCTGACATGAACCCCCCCCCCCCAGATAACAATGACTTAAAAACTAATCTAGACTGAAGTCTTAGGTCAGTATCCAGTATCCCTATTTAATCACCAATTAATTACTGTTCATTGGGATCACCTCTTCAATCACTCAAGGAGCATTATTCTCTTTCTGGTGGCACAATAGGTTAAATCCTTTTCTGGCAGGACTGCTGACCGAGAGGTCAGTGTTTTAAATCTGAAGAGAGCAGGTTGAGCTCCCTCTGTCAGCTCCAGCTCTCCATGCAGGGACATGAGAAAAGCCTCCAACAAGGATGGGAAAACATCAAAACAATCGGGCGTCCCCTGGACAATGTCCTTGCAGACGGCAATTCTCTCACACCAGAAGCGACTTGCAGTTTCTCAAGTTGCTCCTGACATGGGGAAAAACCCAGTAACAATAATTAAAAAACGAATCTAGACTGATGTATCCAGTCAGTATCCCCATTTAACCACCAATTAATTGCTGTTCATTGAGATCAACCTCTTGTATCACTCAAGGAGCATTGTTCCCCTTCTTAACTTGGGAGAGCGTGGCAATACATCCAACTCCAGGAACAAACAACCTTCGATGTGCTTCAAGGGTGCCGCTTGATCCTGAATCTTAACTGTGGCTTATGATCAAAAACCGAGAAGTCCATTCATTCCCTACGGATCTCAAAGCACAGACCGACGTGACTCTTCCTACCTTTGCTCCTCTACCTGAATAGTATCAAATAGCACCCCCAAAGCACCCGTGTATGTGCATTCAGTGCACAGAAAACATTTTGAGGGGGCGGCCACCGACAAGGAACACAAGCGCACAGCACACAGAGGGAGCAGATACAACACAAGCCATGATTAGAGCTCCCTTCAAGGAAAATAGAAATGTTTGAAAACAACAACATCATTCACTCGGGGAAGAGACCCGCGTGGATGGCCACTCCGAGGAGATGACCAACTCGGCAAAGGGACCGTCGGGAGGCCGGGATTATTGGTGTCGCGGGGACCTTGAACGGTTCACAAGGAGGTTCTTGAGGAGGAGGGAAGGAGCGCGTGCTTTCCCGCGTCCTTTTTTTGACCCGCGGGAGGCAGGTGTGGTGACCCAGCCCGCCCCCGGTAAGGCGCCTCTTTTCCTTACCTTTGTCCCTTCACATGGCCAAGGCTGAGGAGGAACACGAAGAGGAGGAAGAGGACCAAGAGGGAAGCGCGCGCCTCTCTCCTGCCTTTGCTGGGCGCCTCGTGGTCTTCCTTCCTTCCTTCCTTCTTCCCTCCCTGACCACCTTCAAGGGAGGAGGAGGAGAAGGAGGAGGCGGGGCGGGGAGAGGAGGGGCGCCAGGAAGGCAGAGGGTCTCTCTCTCGCTTCTTCCCCCTCCGAGCAGCCTCCTCCGCCCCTCGCCATCCAGGCTTCTCCGCCGCCACGCGCCCACCTTGCAGACCCAGTCTCCTCCTTTCCTTTCCTTTCCTTTCCTTTCCCTTCCCTTCTTTCCTCCTCCGCTGCCACTCAGGCGAGGACTGGGGCGCCTTGCCCGACGTCTCCCTTCTTAAGCGCCCGCCGCCGCCTCGTCGTATTCCTCCTCCTCCTCCTCCTCCTCGCCTTTCCCTCCTCCCTCGCGGTCCCAGTCCTCGCCATCGTCACGTGCCCAAAAGGAGCCTTTATTGTCCCTGCCTCGCGCCCAAACTTCGCGCCTGGGCCAGATTGCAAGTGTGTCTATGTGGGTAAAGGGAGAGAGAGAGAGAGGAAGGTGTGCGCGCGTGCAGGGTGAACTTCCCGGTTTGGGGAGGGAGGGGGGCGCCTTAGAAGCGGAATGGGCTTCCTTGGAGTGCGGTAACCCCCCAGGTCGGAATAGTATCTCTCAAGAAGGCTTGGGTTGCATATTCCTGCAAGGCGGGCGGGGGTTGGACTGGATGGCCCTTGGGATCTCTAGATGGGTGCCGTCTATGTACCTGTTTTTGGGGACGGAAAGGTCTGAGAAAACAATTGAAGAGAGATATTGACAAGTTGAAATGTGTCCAGAGGAGGGCGACTCAAATAATCAAGGGTCTGGAGAATAAGCCCCATGAGGAGCGACTTAAAGAGCTGGGCATGTTTAGCCTGCAGAAGTGAAGGCTGAGAGGAGGCATGATAGCCATGTATAAATACGTAAGAGGAAGTCATTGGGAGGAGGGAGCAAGCTTCTTTTCTGCTGCCCTGGAGACTAGGACCCAGAACAATGGCTTCAGACTACAAGAAAGGAGATTCCATCATTAGGAAGAACTTCCAGACTGTGAGAGCCGTTCAGCAGTGGAGCTCTCTGCCCCGGAGTGTGGTGGAGGCTCCCTCTTTGGAAGCTTTTAAACAGAGGCTGGATGGCCATCTGTCAGGGGTGCTTTGAATGCAATTTTCCTGCTTTTTGGCAGGGCTTGGACAGGATGGCCCATAATGCCTCTTCCAACTCTATGATTCTATGAAAATGGTGTTTGAACTGTGGTGTTGGAGGAAAGTTCTGAGAGTGCCTTGGCCGTCAGAAGATCCAACCAGTCCATACTTCAGGAAATAAAGCCCAACTGCTCACTGGAGGGAAGGATAGTAGAGACCAAGATGAAGTACTTTGGCCACATCATGAGAAGACAGGAAAGCCTAGAGAAGACAATGATGCTGGGGAAAATGGAAGGAAAAAGAAAGAGAGGCCAACCAAGGGCAAGATGGATGGATGGCATCCTTGAAGTGACTAGATTGACCTTGAAGGGGCTGGGGGTGGTGACAGCCGACAGGAAGCTCTGGCATAGGCTGGTCCATGAAGTCACAAAGAGTCAGAAACTACTGAAAGAATGAACAACAACAATGAAAATGGATCTGATGGGGAAAGGCTGCATCTACATCAGCCCCAAGTGGCGCAATGGGTTAAACCAGGCATCCTCAAACTGCAACCCTTCAGCCGTTTGGGCCTTCAACCCCCAGAATTCCTGACAATTGAACAAGCCCGTTAGAGCTTCTGGGAGTTGGAGGCACAAACAGCTGGAGGGCTGCAGCTTGAGGGTTAAACCCTTGTGCCGGCTGGACTGAAGGTCGGAGGTTTGAATCTGGGGAGAGTGTGGATGAGTTCCCTCTGTCAGCTCCAGCTCTTCGTGCGGAGACATGAGAGAAGCCTCCCACCATAGATAATGTCCTTGCAGACAGACAATTCTCTCACACCAGGAGCAACTTGCAGTTTCTCAAGTCACTCCTGAAACACAAAAAATGGGCAAACTTGGGCCCTCTCTCCAGGTGTTTTGGACTTCAACTCCTTCCATTCCTAACAGCCTCAGGCTTAAGTGACTGAGGGTGAAAAGGAAAGAGCCCGAGGCTGTTGGGAATGGTGGGAGTTGAGGTTCAAAACACCTGGAGGGAGGGCCCAAGTTTGCCCATGTCTGTTAGAATCCGTGTTTGGCACCACTTTTCACTGCCTTAGCTCAGTGCTATGGAAGCTGTAGTTAGGCCTTCTTTTTGCCTTCTCTGCCAAAGGAAGAGGGCAGGTGCCTCACCAAAGCACAGCTCCATAGAGGCTATAGCAAAAAGTGGTGTCATAGTGCTCTGGCTGGATAAAATGAAATGCAAAGATACAGAAAGGGGGACAATGTCTGGCTTTACAGCAGTAGGTGTGAAAGAGATATTGGAGTCCTCATAGACAACAAATTAAACATGAGCCAGCAATGTCATGCGGCAGCAAAAAAAAAAAAGCCAATGGGGTTTTGGCCTGCCTAAACAGGAGTCTAGTGTCTAGATCCAGGGTAGTCATGTGCCCCCTCTATTCCAGACCACACCTGGAATCACACTGTGTCCAATCCTGGGTACTGCAATTGAAGGGAGATGTTGACTCTAAGCTGGAATATGTCCAGAGGAGGGCAACTCAAATAATCAAGGGTCTGGAGAACAAGCCCTATGAGCTGGGCATGCTTAGCCTGCAGAAGAGAAGGCTGAGAGGAGACATGATGAGGACCATGGATAAAATATGTGAGGGGAAGTCAGAGGGAGCAGGCTTATTTTCTGCTGCCCTGGAAACTAGGACGCAGAACAATAGCTTCAAACTACAGGAAAGGAAATCCCACCTGAACATGAGGAAGAACTTCCTAACTGTGAGAGCTGTTTAGCAGTGGAACTCCCTGCCCCGGAGTGTGGTGGAGGCTCCTTCTTGGGAGGCTTTTAAACAGAGGCCATCTGTCAGGGATGCTTTCAATGTGATTTTTCTGCTTCTTGTCAGAGGGTTGGACTGTATGGCCCACAAGGTCTCTTCCAACTCTTTATGATTCTATGAACTGCACTGCCATATAATCCAGTTTATCAAAGGAGACAATCCGGATTATTTGCTTTGAACTGTATTATATGAGTGGCTTGTGAGTTTTCCAGGCTGTATGGCCATGTTCCAGAAACCCACAGCGATCATACTATTACCAGGCTTCTCTCACGTCCCCCATGGGGAGCTGGAGCTGACAGAGGGAGCTCAACCGCGCTCTCCCCAGATTCGAACCTCCAACCTGGCAGTCTTCAGTTCTGCCAGCACAAGAGTTTGGGGCTCCTGATTGTGTGCTGAACACTCTCATTACATAATAATAATAATAATAATAATAATAATAATAATAATAATAATAATAATAATAATTTATTTATAACCCGCCACCATCTCCCCAAGGGGACTCGGGGCGGTTTACATGAGGCCAAGCCCAACAGTACAGCAATGCAAATATACAACATAAATACATACAGTAAAATATAATGAAGATAAAAAAATAAAATACAAAACAATATAAATGACGGGGCGGCGTGAGGAGGAGCCTTGCGCGTTCAAGTTGAAGGGAAGTCGACGCCGAGGTCTGGCTCCGTCGGCTTTCTTTCACCCTTTCTCCTCGGGTCGCGCGAAAGGGCTGCTGTCATCCGGGGGGGGGGGTGGGGGTTTGGGCGGGGGTTGGCAGCAGCTCCTTATGGGTGTGGGGTGGGGGCTGTGGGGCCAATGACCTGACGGTGGAACCCCCTCCCGTTCCAGACTTCCATGACGAAATGTGCAGCCCCTTCCTCCCCATTAGGCCATCCCTTTAGTCAGCCTATCGGCGGGGGGTGTGGGTCTTTCCAGTAATGTCTATCTCATCGCCACCGTCGCCCTTTCCCTCCCTTTATTTAGACCTCCCTCGTCGTGTCTGGGCGGCGGCTTCGGCTTTTTCCTCTCGACGTAGTGGTGGAGCTTAATCTAGTATGGATTTGCAGCGCTCGCTCTCTCTCCCCCCCCCCCCCCCCGCTTTTCTTTTTAGGTCACGAACAACAAAAGCGGGCTCAGAGCGCTTCAGTCCCCGTATTTCTTTTCCCGCTTCGTCTGGCGCGTAAAGTAATCCACTCCCCTGTTGTCCAGAGAATGCGCCCTTAGGCGTGGGTGGGCGGCTGCGAGGGGTTGTCTTTGGCGCCAACATCACCTCTATTCCTCTCTCAGTAGGACAGTCGGACCTCCGTAAACTATCCACGGATTCTGCACCTAAGTCAGTGGTGCTCAACCTTCCTAAGGCCACGACCCCTTAGTGCAGTTCCTCATGTTGTGGTGACCCTCAACCATAAGATTATTTTAGTTGCTACTTCATACGTGTAATTTTGCTACTCTTATGAAGCATAATGTCAATATCTGATATGCAGGATGTATTTTCATTCACTGGACTAAATTTGGCACAAATACCCAAAATGCCCACATTTGAATACTGGTGGGGTTGGTGAGGGATTGATTTTGTCATTTGGGAGTTGTAGTTGCTGGGATTTATAGTTCACCTACAATCAAAGAGCATTCTGAACCCCACCAATGATAGAATTGGGCCAGACTTCCCACACAGAACCCCCATGCCTTGAAGGGACTTACTGACAGGAGCCTCCCTCCAGCCTTGCACACTCTCCCTCGCCCCACACATGCGCCAGGCATGCCTTCTCTCCCCCTCCCTGCCTTCAGTCTCAGAAGCAGCCCTCCCCTTGGCTGAGAGGCCACCCAATCACAGCTTTTGCCATCTGTTTCCAAAAAGCCTCTGATCTTGCTGACCAAAGTGTTGGCAGTTCGAATCCAGGGAGCAGGGTGACCTGTTAGGCCCAGCTTCTGCCAACCTAGCAGTTCGAAAACATGCAAATGTGAGTAGATCAATAAATCCCACTTCGGCGGGAAGGTAACGATGCTCCATGCAGTCATGCTGGCCACATGACCTTGGAGGCATCTACAGACAACACCAGCTCTTTGACTTAGAAATGGAAATTTGCACTATCCCCCAGAGACAGACACGACTAGATTTAATGTCAAGGGGAAACCTTACCTGTACTAGTATCAGGGACACCACTGCATGTCATGAAACTTGCGTACCCACAGACTTTGCCTTCTATGAGGGTCCTGGAGCCAAAACCCAGCTGATGCCAAGGACCCACTCTTCAAGCCACAGTCATGGATTTGATTAAAATCTCTCTGACTCCTGGTGTGACAGGTCAATTTCCTCTGGTCATGTTGGAGGACTTTGAAATTTTTAGAGAGAAGACCTCTCTAGTCACCTCGGAGTTTTTCTGGTGCAATTCTGTGGTCGTTCAAGAAGACACAGAAATCCACAGACAGAGGTTCTCTGAGGTTAAAAAAAACCCCAACAATTTATTTATTTGCTGGGTTGCTTTGAGTTTTTTGGGCTGTTCCAGAAGCATTCTCTCCTGATGTTTCGCCCACATCTACGGCAGGCATCCTCAGAG